AAAAAAAAAAAAATTATTATTTACCTCGTCAAACAAGATCAAATAAAACACGTTTTTATTGCTTTCATATTATACATTCATTCATTAAAGAAATATTCCCTGATAAGATATCCTGTGATATTATTATCTTTCATATTTGAAATCTGTCAAAAAATGCAAGACATTAAGCAAATGTATGTAATTATATTTCTTACCAGATCATGTGAAATTATTTATTATAACCACTTATCTAACATTTATCTAAGTTTTATATGTAATTGTTTATTTCGTAAGATTTATTAAATTATTCCTTGATGGAGATACAAAAATATTTTGAATCGAGGATTATGGAATCCATTGATCCGAATGCATTAGTTGATTAATCCCTTGCAATTCTCTCTAAACTTTCGGTTCGATGTGTATGCAGATTCCGTGGTAACCAGCCCTCCTAGCCAGCTTTTTATCTCTCCTCTTGCTTTCTCTCTTTTTCTTCACGCTTGACCGTGTTAAAAAGAAAAATAACTCGTTTTCAACCATTCTTCCTTTTTTCTTTTTTTCCAACAACAAATGTTGCTCGTTGAACGAAAAACAGGTTGGTATCTTTCTTCTTTTTTGTTATCCCTGATGTAACTTGTTGGTAATTAGAGTCTGATTTATTAGGCAAAAAGAAAAAAAAATTATCTTCATCCTTGACCACCAGAGATTCGAGATTATCGAATGAATTCATCGACGCAGAGCCCTTGAAATTTTATGCATGGATTATATTCTATATTGCGGATAAATCCGAATTACACGTTTTAATTATGATAGCACGTGAAATAAAATTGCGTGAAAATCGCAGATGTGTTAAAAATACGCAATGATTGTAAATGCTTGTGCATTTATGAGAAAATTTGTATGCATAAGAATGTATAAATGAATGTGCGTATTATTTATAAAAAGAGAGAAAATATCTAAAATAATATAGAATAAATGATGTGACAGGAAAGAATAATGCAATTAAAGCAGAAGAATTTTGAAAAATTAATGGTGACTTATGTTTTGAGTACAATTTCATTTTGTCGAAAATTAAGGAGGGATTTGATTGTATAACGAATTATACATTTCAAGGAGTACCTATCTATATATAGAATTTTTTCAGATTTTTTGAGAGTTTAAAATAGGAATTTTGTATTTTCACTAGTCTCCTTATTTACAATATAAAATAAATTCAAATTTCAATTTATACAAACATTTAACAAGAGATAATGTAGACAAGATTTGGTCAATTTTTAAAGAAACTTACACTGGAAGGAAGAATAACCGATATCCGTGTTTAATTCGAGACATCACTGAAATAAGAAAGAGGATCGATCCGATCCCCTTATTAAAGATAAAACAATGCCCTCGACATTTCGGGAATATTCGCAAATATCTTTTATTAAATCCATTTCCTTACGAATACACATTCATGTTGTCACACTTTGTCGTTTCAAAAGAATCGAGATTTTTCTCCACAATCGTGTTCCATACGCAGAATGCTAATATATTCGTTTGGTAGTAACGAAATAAATTTTAACGATAAAAGTTGGTATACAAAAATGATTGAAATTGAAAATTGTCGGTATTTATTAGATATATAAGTAATTTAAGTTTACATTGAATGAGAATGGTATGACGAAGACAGAAGTTTCTCACTTTCCCTCTTTGTTTTATCTAATTACAGAAACTTAAATTGCTAATTTTAATGTAAATTATATATTTTCATACTGCAGGTACTTTGCGTGTTTTACATAAGCAATACAAGAGTTATATATATAAAAAATTTAAAAAGTGATATTTCAAAATAAGATATTTATAACATCATATTTCTATTTTTAATTAAAAATCGACTAAAATATCAATTATCGCGTAACTTACCTCGAGATTCGAAAAGCGTATTAAAATTAGGAAAACTTTGAACCGCTGTAACTCCGAAAATAATAACTTCTGGGTAACAAGTGAAGAATCATTGGAAGCACAGAACATTGTCCTTTAAAACACTTTTTCATTTATCTCAATACAATTTCCGGTTCTTGAGATATCGTCGTGTAAAGAAAAGATAATTTTTAATCGTTTATTCGGTTCTCTTGCTTCGCATCTTGTCTCACTGACCAAACTTCAGACAAGTGACAAGTGCAATTCCTGGAAAAACATAGTACATATTTCCAGAAAAATATGTAGATCACGGATTTATTCGTAATCTCTGCATTATTTGAAATACCATGAATATTTTAAGTTTAAAAAGTAATTTCGATGGCACGCTTTCTTTTATTTTCTAAGTTTTGATGACATATACGATATATTTTCTATTATAATATTATATTATTTCAACTTAAAAAACCTTGATCGACATCATTTTTGTATATCAACTTTTACATTTATTATAATATACTATTCACGAAGA